AATAATAATTATTATTTTTACTTTTAAGAATAATTTATTAATCGGTTATTACAACATTAAGAAATCATAATAAATGTAATTATAAAGTATATTTATTTCTTTATTATGAAGTTATAAATATTATATTTATTATTATTATTATTATTTATAATAATAATATTTATATTTATTATTAACGTTTTTGAGGTACATAATAATAATACACAATTATTTTTTTTATGTTAAGAAGATTGCATTAATTTATTATATATTACATCTTTAACTAATCATAATAAACATGTTTTTGAGGAACAAAATATTAATAAAAAAATACACAATTAATTATAATGATTTTGTTCCTCAAAAACATACAACTATTTATTTATTTATAATAATTATTATATTTAAAATTAATATTTTCTTCTTATATTATTGTTGTTACTATTGTACATACATAAAATGTCATTAATTCCCTGAGACTGGTGATGTCAAAGGTTATACACTCAAGCATTTACGCACCACAGCTGCTTGCGTACAGCCTGTCCTTTAAGAGACTCCACGTTGAAGTTGTTGGTTTTGGCAGGCATGATGAAAAACACAACCACTGTAACATCACTCTTATGAACCTGTCAGCCAGCATGAGCACAAACACACAGTCAGAAATGAACATCTTTTGCTTTGAATGCTACTGGATTATTACAGTTTGTGAAGAAACTGTAGGTGTTTTCTAAAGTTGTGCAGTGACTGTTCATACCCTTAGCAAGTAGTTTAATCTGGACAGAGATTCAAGAAACAGGTCTGCTCCTTTATTAGAAAACTCATATCGTCCTGCGATGAAAAAGAATAAGGTCTTTTCCAGATTGAAGTCCAGATGGCTGTCAAAGAGAAGAGATTTTTCTAAATTCTAACAAGCTATTTTTTATTATTATTATTTTTTTTGCACAAGTGAACAAATATGTGTTATTGCGAAGACAGAAAAGAGCTCTAACCCATAGAAATGACCCCTTACGAACTCCTGGATTTTGGCTTTGTTCATGGAGTGCAGGTTCTGGAACTCATGCATGGCAGAGAACTTCCTAACATTCAACCCGTTTGGGGTGACGACATCTGCATGGACCAGAAATACAAACATGATCTTTTCATCATGATATATTCAGAAGCCAACAAGAACAGATGAGGTGCTTTGTAATGCAGGTGAAACCTGGTTGTCTGTGGAGCATATGATTGGCCTCCACAGCTGTGATCTGGGACACGGTGGTGAAGACATGTGCACAGTGTACCGCGGCTCTCTCCAAACAGTACCGATGGTAGATCTGTCTCTCCCCTGCCTCTTGATCTATGTTAAACTGCATGAAATAGATAATACAATGAGTTGGAAATGAACAGTTTGAAAAGGGAAGGCTATGGACTAATGTTATGCAGAGTCCAAAATTCATTTTTGCAACCTTTGCTGAAATCAAAATTTACAAATCAAAAGTCTCAGAGCTTCCCCTCATCAGCAGGTGAAGGAAGTCTCTGTGGGACCAAAAGGCAATCGCATCAGCCGGTGAATCATAAGATGCTGTCAATTATTCTTTCAAACCCCTGCAACCTTCAGGCATGATGACCTTTATGCTCCCCACACCAGGCCCAATTATCACTGCATGCACTCACACCTGCTCAGTTCCACCTCTAATAAGTGTTCACTACACCAACCAACTTGACTGATTTCTGTGGGACACACTTTAAATAGCAGAAAATGTGAGGGATGTTGTATTGTATGTCTTATGTCTTTTGAATTGTTATATTTTGTAACATAGTTTTTTAAAAATCAATTTTAAGCCAAATAAATACATACATAAATTAATGAATGAATAAATAAATAAAGTATTTAAAAATGTTTGTGTATTTTTAAAGATAATGCCTGTGTAAGCCAGTGGGGTGCAGGATGACTTAAAGTTATACTTAGATTATTAATATAATAATTAATTTATATTATAAAATAATATAATAAATAATTAATATATATATATATTTTTTTTTTTTTTAATTTATTCACATTTTTATTATTTTTTTTATTTAGTCATTTTTCAATATTTACACATTTTAAAATGATAAAAAAATTAATGAAATTAAATCATGAATTTATTCACATTTTTATTAATAATTATTTTAAATTATTTTTCAATATTTACACATTTTAAAATGATAAAAAAATTAATGAAATTAAATCATGAAATTAAACAAGAAATAAAAAAATGTAATAACTATTCTTTTTCTGAAAACCATACAGTTCTTGAAACTGTCGGATTGTGGCTAAATTAATTCACCTATATAGACACCGGAGTTTTGGTTCCTTTAACTGAAAATTGATTTGTTCACTATTGTCCTTTTGCATTATTGACACACTATTTTCCTATTTAATACTGTAAAGCTGCTTTGACACAATCTGTATTGTTAAAAGCGCTATATAAATAAAGGTGATTGACTTGACTTGACCTATATATCCCCAGGGCTGGCCAGTGGGTTTGTGGGGCCCCAGGCAAGATCATTAAATTGGGGGCCCATTTTCATTATCTTACCAATACTGACATATTAATTAAACTACATAACTGATACAAACATGAATAAAATCACTAAAAATAAGCACACTGCAGGTTACTGGCAAATGTGCTTTTTTTTTTTTTTTTTTACAACATTAAGTTAAAATCAGTGATAATCAAGTACAAAAAAGAATTTATACATAAAATAGGCCTGTATCGTCTGTAGGACGGGCCGATCCTCTATATCCCAGACAGTGTTGGGCTAGTTACTCAAACAATGTAATATATTACTCATTAGTGCTGCACAAATAATCGAATTTCTAATCGCGATTACAATTATGGATGCCACAATTACGTAATCGTTCAAAGCGGCAATTAATCGTTCAAAGTCCACTTATGTTATTCTGTCTGTTTAAGATGCGTTTTTTTCTTTCTACATGTTATCTTAAGGGTTTTTCCATTGTTTTAATTTTAGTTTTAGTATAACATTATAAACATTCATATTTTTACTTTTTTTATAATTTAAAGAAGAAACAAATCCGATGTATAGTTGACATTTGAGGCTTAATACTATAGAAAAGCACTAAAAGTTTTTCAGTTAGAGTGTTTTCAGCTTGTTTATTTTCATATAAAAATATGGCATGCAGTTGCAAAAAACAATGGTATAAATATAATTCAATGAAAATTGTGATAATCGTAATTAATAATCGCAATTACAATTTCAAGGGAATAATCGACAATTATGATTTTTGTCAATCGAGCAGCCCTAGTACTCCTTTCAAAAGTAATATTATTATTTTACTTATTCCGCTCTGGCAACAGTAATTAGTTACACTACTAGTTACATTACTTTTCTTTCACACCCCACATAAGTTGTAATTGCATATCTTCCCCATAAAATTCTTCTAAAATGTTACTAACAATATATTTCTGCCTCATCATTTGACCAAAATCCACACTGGATCACAGTCAGAAGTTATTACGAACACTCAGTGGTAAGTAATAGTAACGTTTAAGTAAAAGTGTTGTATTAGTCTCATTAAATGTCATGTGTAGCTTAATTTCTCTGTTATGCCCATATACAATTATATTCCATTATGTATTTTATCAAAAGAAATCATATAAGTTTATAAGAAAATGTTTAATTCTCTAAAAAGATTTTATACAATTTATATCGGGATCAGCGGGATGTGGGTGGGCCATGTAATGCCAGAGTAAATTAATGCCACAACTTCCATAATGCCACAAATTACACATCAGTGATCAGATCATCTTTTCTCCTGACAAAATCAATGTAATGCCAATATTTCCATCCGCTGAATGTAAGCTTTTTCATATTCCATATGCCTGCTCCACTGGTGACTTCATGTGCCTGTGCAAGTTGTGAAAATTATGGAAATAAATCTAGAAATTATTGGATTGTTGGACTTTAAATCAGTAGGGGTTGAGGCATCAAAAGTAACTAAGTAACTATCTGTATTATGGACAGTAAATGACTGAAATCTTTTTAGTAATTAGTTACACTAGTTACTGCAAAAAGTAATATTATTACTGTAACTAGTTACTGACCAACACTGATCCCAGACAAATAAAAGAACTAGTTATAATATGTAAGGGGCTTTTGAATATTGTGTTGGACAGTGAGGGGCCTTCAAGTCAAACAGGTTGAGAATCACTGGTGTACAGTGTCAAAACAATCCTCACCTTGTCCAGGTTGTTGTAGAAGTCTGCATTACCGGCACACAAATACCGCCCCAGTAGGGTGGCATGTGTAGTAAAAACAGTTGCCAAGGGAATCTTTCGGGAGCGGCTTAGTACAAGTCCTGTCCCAGCCTGCCACTCGTGGAAATGAGCAATTACGTTGGGCTTGTCCTGTAGTTGGTCTGTTAACTGCAGATGGAGACAGACAGGTTAAACATCCTCAGCACATGACATCACCATCAAACATTCAATGTTTTATCCCACAAAGTCAGCATACACTAAATCAATTCATATTTTAGCTAGGATAGACTAGAAAAGTACAGGTGAAACTACAAAATGAATCCAGTGTAATCCAGGCAAGCAAAATCAGATGGTTTTAGTGTGGCGTTTAGAAAAGGTGTTTCTTCACCTCCTTGAAGAACCAGGCCACAAGAGAACCAAAGATGAGCGAGTCATTGGCCTCCCTGTCATGATAGGGTAGTCCGATGCTGCACGCGTTCCACAGATCCCCCTTCCAGCGGTCCAGGTTCCAGGCAGCTGCCCCAATATCAAAGAGGATGACGTATGGACTGCCCTCAATCAACCAGCGGCCAAAATGCACCTGCATGTAGAGAGGAAGTGAAGGCAAAAACGATACTAATAAAAACCGTAGGTTGTCCCTTTTATTTCTATTCTTGTTGAAATCTGTCAAATTAAAGGCAACAGAAAAAGACTGGCTTGCTGTTATTACATATTTATATACTATTATAGTATTATTAATATTTTGAATTATCTTTTGTTTTTATATTTTCAGTTTGTTTCTAAATGTAAAGTTTTAGCCAGTTTGTTAGTATTATACACATATTTATGTTTAGTACTTCAACTTATTTTAATTCAGATGCCAAGGAAACATTTCTTACTTTCTTTTTTTGAAGCATCAAAAAAGTGTGTGTGTGTGTGTGTGTGAAAATTGATTCAAAAAATTTGAATTGAATTGTTTTAGTGCTTTCAGTGCAACAAAGGCCCTGTTGCTACTATATACCACAACCTAAAGGAATTGTTGCATAAAAGATACTTTACATAAATCAATCAATCAATCCATATCTGAACTGGTGTGTCTCACACACACACACACACACACAAACAAAATGATCTATTTCCTCTCTAAAGTGATACTCTAGCATCATCTGCTGGTCAGAATGAGACCAAGGCAAAAAAATATTTATATATAATCAAGATACACTGTTGCATATTTATTTTCTGTCTAGCATTAATGCTACCATCTGATACTGATACAGCAGGCATGTCAATGCCAGTTTTTGCCAGCTTTGAAGCATTTTTTATTTGGTCAAATGACTACAACCCTCAATGAACCTGACCAAGGTCTACATATAAGATGCGGACCTTGAACATCACCAATAACCATGTGTACAATACCTGGCAACCGTTATTATTCAAGGAGTCCATAGCAGCTTTGATGGCTTGGTTTGGAGGTTCACATTTCTCCACCTGGGTCTTGAAGTTGTGTTCGTAGTAAGGTCCCATCATGATGTAGTTCTCTCCCCATTCGTCCACAGTGATCTTTGCTTTAGTCTGAATAACAGTGTATATACCCCCAACTGAAGACAGATGCACAGTTGTGAAGGGAATAAAACATTTAAGAATGAGAAACAGAGAAGATTAACAAAATAAGAACTTAGTTCAAACTAAAACGGTGTTCAAAATTAACTAAATAGATTTAAGTCTCAAAAATCTGACTATTGATCTGGAGCTTAATGTTTAACCTGCTATACAGCCCCACTGATACAAGAGTGTATGGATTCTGCACACATTTTTCTAAATGACAGCTCTCTTGTTGAACTGTTTTCAAGCCTTCTGATAATGGGGTGAACAGTCTTGAGGTCAAATGCATTTTCGGGGGCCAAAATCACAATAGATTCTTGCTAAGGTTATGCAATAAATAAAAAACAAATACATGGTCTTGGTAATGAGAAATTGTAGAATTTTACATTTTTAAAGTGATTCTTCAGTTATGGGCACTTTTGGTAATGGACTTTGAGTAACATTTTAATTTGTGCTCAATGAACATATGTGTCACAGGTTATTTCCCCTCTGAACAAATTACATTAGATATAATTTCCAGCACATCTAAAAGATGATTATTTTGTGGTGGAAATGAAGGTGATGGAAAAGTACATGGTAATTTTTGAATAAAATGGTCTACACATATTTCTCTGGCAAAGGCTAATCTCATACTAGCATTTTATGTATCAAATACATACAATCATATATTATTTTCATACTAACTCATATTAACTATAATATTTATGTAATAAAATGGCCTGTATATCTGTCTGGCAAAGGTTAATCTCAGCTAGCATTTATCATAAATACAATCAAATAGGCTATTATATTCATACAATTTGCATAATTGCTTAAAATTGGAAATTATGCACACAAAAACGAAATTACATAAATTAGACAATTACAACAGTGTGTTACATAAATTGTAACACACTGTGTTGTAAGTTCTTACCCTTATTGGTGACTTCCCACGAGACCTCAAAAAGCAAGAGGTCTTGCACAGGTAGACTTTCCTCTTCCCATAATGGAAGTCCACTTAATGACGTTATTGACAAAGATCTGGATAGTCGCATCTCACAAACCGTTTTTATCTGTCGACTGCTGTTGCAAATGCGAAATGGGCCGAATTACTATTATTGTGGTAAAGGTAAAGAAGCTAAAACCATCTAAACAGCCACTAAGACTGTTTCTCTTCAAGTTAATGGAGCGCCTGGAGGTCCTGGACACACTGTGAGCTGTTGCTCTATCTTTTCCTCTAACCTTTAGTGAAGTCTAAAAAAGCCTGCATGTGCACACACTGTGATCTCGTGTCTGAAGTCCACAGACATCAGGAGAAAGATTTGGCCGCTGCGCGCGAACCCCTTTGACCGGGACGGCACGTGCACATGCACCCATACTAGGAATTAGTGCTCTGCATTTAACCCATCCAAAGTGCACATACAGCAGTGAACACACACACACCGTGAACACACACCCGGAGCAGTGGGCAGTCATTTATGCTGCGGCACCCGGGGAGCAGTTGGGGGTTCGGTGCCTTGCTCAAGGGCACCTCAGTCGTGGTATTGAAGGTGGGAGAGAGCGCTGTACATTCACTCCCCCCACCTACAATCCCTGCCGGTACGAGACTCGAACCCGCAACCTTTGGGTTACGAGTCCGACTCTCTAACCATTAGGCCACGACTTCCCCGACTTCACGACTTCCCCTTTTGGTCCATCTAATACTTCTATAAAACATCAAATAAAATAAACATAAATAAAACAACATATCCCAGTGGGTTTAGCATGGATATATCCTTTTTTTCACAAGACTATTCCATAAAAATAAAAAAAAGAGTTAAACAGAACAAGAAAGACAAAAGTAAATACACAAGTTATGACGCACGTCTACGCGTGTTTGACGTTTAACTTCTGAACGACAACATTTGTTATTTGTTTTTATAAAGAAAATAGCCTACGCCTTTTACAGGACAGTGACAGTCCGGAGTCTATGTTGCATTAAATGGGATCCATTAAAGTTCATACAAAAAGAATTAAGCTCTATAAATGACAAAAAAAAAAAAAATTCCACAGACAACCAAAACAATGCTGATAGATAGATAGATAGATAGATAGATAGATAATATATTTTCACAAAATTACATATTTCCACGTTTAATAATTTCGATGTATTTACATTCAGGACGTTAACAGCATCACAAAAAAACTTGAAGGCTGAGGCTAAAAAGCTCTTATCAGTGCACCATCACAAACCATTGCACTTTTGCATAATTCATACTCACACCATGTAAGATAATGTGTTGTCACATTATGCCAGGAATATGTTCTTGTTGTTATGATATCCAGGCATGATCTTATTACCATGGCAAGATGACAATGAAAGTTAACTATATTTTTCCACAAGGCACTGAAAATGACCATGATTGTAGACCATTATAGAGGCTTCATACATGTTTTCCTGCTACAAGCCCTTATTTTACTTTCATATCATGTTTTCCCTGGCACCGAATGAGAGAAAACTCAAATTAAAATGTGTGATGTGTATAAGACCACGCATAATGTGCTTTTGGTGGGTTTTGCAGCAGAACTTCAGCAGCTAGGCTATTTGAATAATCGCAGTGGATTTCAGTGTACAATTACCACAGCATTTCCAAGAAAAAAAGCTTACATTTTAAGAGTTAAAATGATGGATGAGGCTAGGGAGGTCCTATTTGCCACAGACAGTCATATGTAAAATAAGGTCAGAGGATGTCACCAGCAAAGCTTTATATTGAAGGAGGACAGCAGAGCATGGGTTTGTTCACTGAAGAGAGAAAAGCTCAGCTGTGCTCCATAAGCTTTACAATTCAGCAGTATGAAAATCAAGGCACTGATTCTCTTCATGTCTGCAATGATCTGTCAGTCCACAGCTTTGAGAGCACCATTCACTGACATGGATACATCTGAGCCCATTCCAGGTAAGGATGATGCTTTGCAATCAAAATACATGGAAAATAAATCAAATGAAAGCTTGTTAGAAAGTGCACTAAAAAGGATATCTTACTTTCCAGACTCCAAGCAGCACTATCTCTCCATGGAGCGGAGGCAGTTTGACGAGCCCAGCACTTCGGACGACACAAGCCTTTGCTTTTTCTTTCAACAAAAAGACGATTCGAGTCATATTTCCTGCAAACATCGATTAACACGCAGTAAATTCAACTACAACCCGTTTGGGCTGCGCTTTGGAAAGCGAAATGAAGCGACTACTGACACTGACAGACCCAAACACAAGCACCTGCTGCCAATGATGCTTTACCTGAGAAAACAGTTAGAAACTTCTTGAAAATCACTCTTCTATCAGATGGAAGGATGCGGTTTGCTTGGTTGAAAACGGGGGGTAACTATTTCAGGCACGCTTTGCCTGTTAATATGCTTTTTTATTTCACAATCATGAAATTTTATGGCGCACTTGTTTCACTGAGTTATTGTATTTGTGCAATAAACGTTTTATATTGTTTGATGGCTTTAAGTAAATCATGTATTTATGATTGTTGACAGGGTGCGAATTAGAGGGAGGGTTTGAATTAAGGTTTTAAAGTTGACACTCAATTAATACAAAAAGGTTGAGTGTCTTAAAAGAATCCTGTTTACATACCGGTGTATATTCTTTTTAATAATGCGTTTCAAACATTTCAGAAACAACTTTAGATGCATCACTTTTGTTCATTTCAGAACAGAACGTTGACAAAAATACTGTAATTTTCACTTATATATTTAAACGTCACAAATAAGACAATGTGTTTTGTTTAAATGACAATTTAAAAAAAAATTACGCGAGATAAAAAAATGTCTTTTAAAAATCATTATTGTATAATTTGCACTTATTGTTGAAAATCCATTAGGCTACACAGCTTATATATATATATAAAAAAAAACGTTCTTACCACAAAATGGTACAAACTATTTATATTAATACTTGGAGACCACAAAAACAGCCAACAGACAGATTTGAACAGGTTAATTTATTAACTTCATCTTATACACACTCACATGACCAACACTTACAACATGATTCAGAAGAATGAATATATTTGTATCTATCTCGCTTCAGTCCCTTCTCCTCTTGACTTAAACAGAAAGACCCAAGAACGTTCCCTAATGATCTCACTAAATTATGTCTAGACAAGAGAGGTGTTGGTTCTTTCTTTATTGCCCACACAGAGTGACTAGGTTAACAAGTGCAAATGTGAAGAACCAAAGATGTTTCCCTTTGATCATTCTCTTTAGAAGAAAAATTCCACATTTTGGATTATTACGCCTACATTTACCACCAAAAATAAAATACAAAAAAAACTTCAAAGCAACCGTGTCCAAAAGCAAGTGAGAAGAAAGGACCGACACGGAGTTAGAGAGTGCGTAAAGATACTGAGGGAGTGTGAACAGAGTTAAGGAAAGGAGTGCATGGTGTCCAGCTCTTGATCTACAGGTCCTTCAGGTCTTTCTGGATACCCCACAGAGTGTCGGCGCTCTTCTTCAGCTGAGCGATTTCTTCATCGGTCAGGGTCATGTTGATAACGCTGCCCACTCCGCTGCTGTTCAGCACACAGGGCAGGCTGAGGTACACCTCCTCGCCGATACCATACATGCCCTACAGACCATACATTAGGAAACTTAAGTGATCACTAATAACAATAACAAAAGGTTCCCGATTCAATCATTCGGTGCAGTTCTGTGATATGGAGGAGAACGTCTCTACCATGATGTTAAACTGAGTGGAAACTCCTCTCACCTTCACCATGGTGGAGACAGGGTGGACCCTGTTCAGGTTCTTCACCAGGGTCTCGGTCAGGTCGGCCACACTGAGGCCGATGGCCCAGTTAGTGTAACCCTTCAGCTTGATCACTTCATAAGCACTAAGAGAAGATAGCAGTAACTAATTAACAATAGATATTTGCTTCACGCCTTTATTTACGCCTGTCATGCTTTTCCAATCCTTGCAGCTGCCGTTTCTTTGTTGTTGAGCACAAAAGAAGAATTTGGATTACAAGCTCAGCGTCCAAATATCCCTACTAAGCAAAAATAAATAAATAAATAAATAAAAATAAAAACAGTATTTGAGACAAGTAATACATCTGAATTTATTATTTAGAATACAAGTAGGCGAATAGCACCTGGCTGGAAGAGATGGAAATTCTTAAGTGCGCATCTGATTAACACTTAACTATCTCATATGGCCACAGGAGAGGATTTGTGAATAATAGTGAAGCGACACAACTGACGCTGGTAGGTCACGTGATAGTGACAACATGGTAGCATGTCCAAATATTATTCATACTACATAGAACAAACATTTTAATGGCTGCAAAGTAAGTTTAAAACTAAATGTAGTACCTATTAGAAAGTGAGCGTAGCTTAGCTACTTTTTGGAGATGTTCACTTTGAACTAATTTTGGTAAAAAAATAACTTTACAAAACCTCCTTTTGTGTTCTAATAATAAAAAAAGATAGCATATGGGTTTGAACATTAAAATTCTGTCTGAAAATTATTTTTAATTCACCTTCTCAACAGCACTGTGGCTAACTAAAATGTATTAATCTATCCCTCAGCTTTAAGCCTAGTCCTAGACTAAATTGTAAGTCTGAGCCGTTTCAACTGAAAGAAACTTGCACTGACTGATCTTAAAATATATCAGTGCCTTTGTTAGGGTTGCAAAAAGGTGGAAAATTTCCAGTAAATTTCGGAAATATTCCAGAATTTTGGAAACGTTCCAGGGATTTTTTTGGAATATTCCAGGGATTTTTTTGTAAAGTTTCTGGAAATTTACCGGAAATTGTCCACCCCTTTGCAACCCTAGCCTTTGTTTTGTCTCAAAAAGCACATCAGTAATGGTTTTTTCTAAGCATGTTTATAAAAATTACTTAAATGTCCTAATTGAACTATGGCCTAATCCTGGCTTAGTCTAAGCCTTGTCTGTGAAACCGGGCTTATATTCCTAATTTCCAAACAGTCAGATAACAGAGCCTATGACATAGGATTGTGACTTACCTGTCCACAACCATCTTGTGAGCTTCCCTCCAATTCTCGCTGTCTTTATCTGTGCCAATGTCAGGGTTGAGTTTCTGCAGGCTGACTCCAGCAACATTTGCTCCGCTCCACACAGGCACTGTTAAACACAAAAACAGCACTTTTAAAAATCAAATATGCGGTCAACGACTGAAACCATGTCACATCATGCAGCAGTTCACATTCATCCATTTTAACATTCGTTCTACTAGCACTTCCTCCTCTCCCCACACCCATTTTATCTCATATTTTCCTCTTCATTCAGCT